CGCCTGGCCGAATACAGGCACAGCGGTGATCGGAAGTTGGAATCTGAATTAGACAGACATATCGTGTGTGCGTCGCGGTGTGCGGCTGCATTGATTTAATACATGCGATGAGATACTTTTGAGCTTGCGACCAGCACAAAATCGGGCTCTATATCTGAAAAATACTTGAAATAAAGCTCATTTTATGGTACCCATATTTCTTACATACACGCGTAAGAAACTCGATTTTTCAGATTTGGGTAGCGGGACCGCCGATTACATCGCTAAAATGTGATATTTTAGGATATATTTTTCATTGCAAATGTGGTTCTTCAGTGACACTGGCATGGTATGGTATGTGTGGGATATGTGTTATGCTATTATGCGATGTATTTTAAAGTGATTTTACCATGTATCCAACCAATTGGCCGAAAACCGGAGCTGACCGATTACCGGGTACTTTACTCTATTGGTATACTTTTAAACGTAGAAATAAAATCAATCAAACAAACAAACAAACAGTAAATTGTAAATATAGCTTAGCCTACGTTGGACTTCTTCAAAATGTGACGATACATATATTGCATGTAGACTACCAATGTAGCTAGACAAGTGTATGGTAATCACGAGAACGCTTCTGGTTTCATTTATTATAAATATAATCAGAGCGTACTCACCTGCGTGCATGCATGCACCTGTCATCAAGAGTTGACTTTCGTGTTTAATAAATGTTGTTACGAATCATTACCGGCGGTAGCGTCTTCCAATTTTAATTTTTATCTTCTTCTCTGGAATTAATCCAACTCCAAGCATGACTTTGTTTCAACAGATAACTTAAGTCGTCTTTAGTCTACAGACGAGATCCTGGCCTGGAACATCATCCTGAATAAGTGTGGTTTACTTCCTTCACTATGATCACTCGTGTAAACTTGTCTACGGTCCAATGTTTACATTATATGGAGCATACGATATAATGCCGCGGTACTATTTATTGTGAGCTAGCTGCCTCGGCGGCTTCTTAGACTCGACTAGCGCTCTATAAAATCCAATTAGGAATCCGCGCGTAGTGCACAACAGGCTTGTATTGTTAACTATGTATGTAATATGCAGGAAGGAGAAAACGGACGCGTATGCGCGCGTATACATTTATGGAAAGCGAAGTGTAACTTTAAAACAAATATTATTAATTTATAATTTTATAACCCCCCAGTCTGCGTTTGGTGTATAGCAACCGCTCCTGCTCCTTGTCTAAAGCGTCCTCGCGGACCACTCATCGGATCTTTGCCTAAAAAATTGCCATGGTCCAGTCCGGCCCTGTCCATACTTTAGGGGTCAAGTTCTTGTAAAGAAGGGCGAATGCCGTAGGATTTCCAAAAAATGTTTGATTTAATTGTTGGTTTTTAGAGCCAGTAACACTTCGGTTGATTATTTTTTTAATTTCTCTCCTCACCCTCCTCCTTCTCTCTTTCTCTCTCTCTCTCTCTCTCTCTCTCTCTCTCTCTCTCTCTCTCTCTCTCTCTTTCTCTCTCTCTCTCTCCCCCCCCCAATTACTCCAGAGGCCCGCCCTCTTCCCCTCTCTGAGTAACAATTGATGAGGCTAATTAATTCCACCAGCAATAACCACATGATATAACAGGTAATACAATAAATCGCGGCACAAAAATAAAGTATAATAGAAATATATACATTCAAACAAAACAAAAAAAAATATTATCCGCCGTTTACAGAACAACTTAGGTCACAACTCTGCTCATTTATCTTCTCCAACTTTTTCCTCTCCGACTCAGTACTTTTTTTCATTTCATTTCGTTTATTTTCATTTCCAACAAAATAAATAAAGCCTGGGATTGCATTGTACATAGTAAAACAATGAAACTTAACAATATATTTGTAATTGGTCCACAGTGTACAATAGGCATATAAAACAGGTTGGTCATGGAGGGGACTGCTGAAAAGCTGGGCTTGTAGATTGCAGCCCCCTATAACTTATAGGTTCAAAAATAGTATATCAATAATAAAGGAACGCACAAATACTATACAAATTAAACATAACATAGAAGGAGTGAAAGGGACAGGGAAAGAAGGGAGACAACGAGAGAGGGCAGGGCTCTTACCTATAACACACACAACACAACACGGACCGACTGGAATACGGATGGCCAGTACAAAATGAATCAAAATATCCAAATGTATTTTATTGAGTTAAATAAATTTAAAGAGAGAGAGCTAACGCTTGATAATTACGCAAAAAAAAATAATTTGAATTTGAATTTAAAAGAATTTAAACTGGGGGCATTCTTTATGCTAACATCAAGAATGGTCCATAGCTTCGGGCCTGCGTAAGTGAATATGGATTTAGCAAGTAAAGTTGTAGTTAATGGCAGATGAAATTCGTCAGATTGGCGTGCCTATTTAGTTTTATTTTTGATGAATATTAAATTGAAGGCTGATGGTAGCGTATTATTTAACTGGTACATAAACTGACCGAGGCTATAACGATATAAATCATTTATTTTCAACACAATATTTTCAACAAATAAAACGTCAGTATGAGATCTCCAGGAATTACAAATAACACGCATAGCTTTTTTTTGTAGAAGTAGTATTCTATGAAGATAAAAATCGTATGTATTACCCCAAACAATAATACCATAATTTAAGTAGGGCAAAATTAATGTCGAGTAAAGCATTAGTAGGGAGGAGGTTGGCAGAAAAAAACTTAACCTTATTTACAGTACTATACTTAATCTTCCCCTCCTTCATAGCCTACATAATTCCAAATAGGATATAGTGAATGTCTGATTTCATTTGATGACAATATAATATAAATTTAATTCAATTCGATTAAAGGTTTTATTCCGAAACACATAGAGCACAATGATGCACATGCTGTATCTAAAAAGTTGTGTGTTTACAATGATCGAGGATACATATAAATAGAAGAAAAAAAAATCATTCACAAAACATATCTTCATTATCGTACAATGAAACCATGACAGATAAAATCCTGGTCTGGTTAAAAAAACAACTGTTTAAATATACAAATAAAAAAGATTGGGTTTGGAAAGAAAAAACTTAAAAGATAACGTAAGAATTTACAGTTACTGTTTTCCTGAACGTCTTCAATTATAACAATAAAGGATAGCACTTGGGAAATTGGAATTTAACCTGAAATATTTTGTAAGCGCCCCCCCCCCCCGATTCCGTTTCTTCAACTTTAGTTGATGACATGCATAATAAGATACTGACTATTTTAAAGCTTTTTTTTATTTACTGTCCATAGAACAGTTCCGTCGTAGGATGTAGGATGTTTCGCCCTTTTTATAAGAAAAAGTACAAGTTAAAAAAAATAAAAAATAAAAATAAAAATAAAAAAAGTAGCACCAAAGTATTTATAATGGAATTCCACAGCTCTTTCTTTTTTTTAAAAAAGGGGATGAGAAACACGTAATTTGTGTTACTTGGCCTTTAAAAAAATTTAATGATGATATATGAATAATGATAATAATGATATAGTTCCTTGGTTATAATTATGACCATTGCAGAACAGTTTAGTTGCACCTCAGATCAAAACACCAGGCGCGTAGCCAGGGGGGGGGGGGGGGCGGTGGGGGCGGTCGCCCCCCCCCCCCAAAAAAAAAACGCCGGCAAAAAAAAGAGAGAGAGAGAGGAGAAAAAAAAGAGGACGTAGGAAGAAAAAGGGAAAAGGAGTCGAGAACGGTACAACGAATCATCAAAGCTTCCGCGCTTCGCGCGGGAAGGGGGAACTGAGTTCAAATTTAGGATTAAGGGTCGGGAAAGTTACAACGAATCGTCTTCTTTCTCTTATAATTTAATGAAACGTCAAAACTTCGCACGAGAGGGGGGGGAACAGAATTCAGACAATGATTAAGAGTCGAGAAAGGTACAACGAATCGTCTTCTTTCTCTAATAATTTAATAAAACGTCAAAGCTTCGCGTGAGAGGGGGAAGGGACTATATTCAGACAAGGATTATGAGTCGAGAAAAGGACAACGAATCGTCTTCTTTCAAAGCTTCCGCGCTTCGCGCGGGAGGGGGACTGAATACAGATAAGGATTAAGAGTCGGGAAATTAGGTACAACGAATCGTCTCTTTTCTCTAATATTTTAATGAAACGTCAAAGCTTCGCGTGAGAGGGGGGAGGGACTGAATTCAGACAAGGATTATGAGTCGAGAAAGGTACAACGAATCGTCTTCTTTCAAAGCTCCCGCGCTTCGCGCGGAAGGGAGACTTAATACAGATGAGGATTAAGAGTCGGGAAATTAGGTACAACGAATCGTCACTTTTCTCTAATATTTTGATGAAACGTCAAAGCTTCGCGTGAGAGGGGGGAGGGACTGAATTCAGACAAGGATTATGAGTCGAGAAAGGTACAACGAATCGTCTTCTTTCAAAGCTTCCGCGCTTCGCGCGGGAGGGGGGGAAATTCCCCCCTACCTGCCCCCATCCCCTAGACCTGAGCGCGCTTCGCGCGCTCTTTAAGTGATTCGCACGCTTCGCGTGCTCATTACCGTCCCCCCTAAAATGAAATCCTGGCTACGCGCTTGCAAAACACCCCTTATGTCCGCTTGACTAATAACATTTCACCTAACTTAGAAGAAGTGTATTTGTTCGTCCCACTCCTTGGCCAATCAAATTTTGGCTAGAAAACATATAGCCTAATTGACGGTGTTTTTGGTTGATAATAGGGATCCTCTTGTCATGAGCCTTGTATCTCACCTTTTGGTGCTTGTAATTATCATGAAGATTATTTTTGGAGATGTGGAGTAGACGGGCAGTAGCCCTAAGTCTACGTTCTAAGGGAAATTTATGAATTTTTTTCCACTTTGTCCACCCCCCCCCCCACCCCTACCTCCAAAAAATAAAATAAATGAAAATAAAACACCACTTTTCTCTTTGTTTTGGAGGATGGGATCGGGAGGGCGGTTGAGTTCATATATTTCAAAGAGGGCTCATTTATACACAGACAACTGTATACATTTGATAGAGTTTTTCACGTTGTTTCCTTGCGATATATTTTGCGATATAGTGTACGCGTGCGTGAAGCATATCAGCAAACGACTAAAACCAGCCTACTTTTGGACTATGGCCGTGACTTATCTAATCTCAACTTGGATCTAATTATTTTCTCAAATTGATCTGTACTGAGCTGAATTACGCCTATGTTCCATTAGACCACAGAAGGAGTAAGATTAAAATGGGGGAGGAACTACGATTCGACGGTCGCGTTGCTCTTGTTACAGGGGCCGGTGGAGGTAAGATATAACAAAATTAAAAGGCTGTACATATTCGTTGCCAGTCCCACTCGCAGTAAAATATGTATCGGTAGGACTTGAGCTCATCTGGCGCCTGGGCGCTTGGCTTCGACTGTTCCTGTTAAGGAACATAATATAATATCGTTGCATTTTACGGAACAATTAATGCAATTAGATAATTTGAGAGAAACCGTCAGGAACCAGCTTAGCCTAATAGTAATACGCTTGGTGGGAGAGAGAGAGGGAGAAATAGAAAAAAAGGGGGAGGGGCCCGGGGGACGCATCATGCATGGAGCGGCAGAAAACAAGTTTGGAGATATTTGCTCATAAATATACAAGGAACAATCTAAGAATATGTATTGCACTACTAGATGTAGACCCTATAGATAGTTTTAAGATAAATTCGTAGAGATCTAGACTGCAATTTTTTTGTTTGTTAATGTTATTATTATTATTTTCCTCCTCATCCTCGTCCTCGTCCTCATCCTGATCATCATTATCATTGTCATCATCATCATCATTGTTATTCTTTTTGGTTTTGAGTTTGCAAAGAAATTTGAGCACTTCTGTTAGTTTTAATGACCTCAAATACCGAGAACGAACACAATAATAGATGTGTCAAATCACTGGTTTCTCTGGAATGACTAAAGATTGCCAATTTGATTTTGAAATCGGTTTTCCGACTTCAAAAGGTTGAACTGATTGTAATGTACTTACATTTAGGCAGGGCTCTACACACTAACTGGACATACAGTATGGGCTATAAACAAGCAAATTCAATTCCCCAAATATAAAAACTATTTCTGTTTTTTCATCATTTGCTCCTCTTTCCTTTTATAATAACAGGTCTTGGAAAGGAGTATGCCCTCCTTCTTGCAGCAAGGGGAGCCTCGGTTGTGGGTAAGTTTTAACCCATTGCCTATGGAAACCGGTCAGCTCCTGTATTAAGTCAATGGGACTGAGAGAATTCAGTAGTCAACGGGTTAAGTTACCAAGGATAACTAAATTGACTATCAAAGATTGCATTTTAGGACTAAATATGAAGAGGTAGTTATTGGTCTGTCATGACATATTTTGGTTAAAATTTTCAGCCTCATTTCTCAATTTCTGTATACAATGTTTATGTGCTGTGTCAGATCAAAGAGCTTGAGTTGAAAGCGAGTGATAGTCATAGAATACTTAAAGACTTAAATGAGAAGAAAAAAAGATGTTGGTTCATTGTTTTGTGTTATTCTTGCTTTGCAGGTATTCAAATGTGTTTTTCATAGATTGAAAGAGTAGGAATCATTATTGCTGGAGATGAGTATGACAAAATGCCTTGCTGATTTCTCTGTCACACCACCTAAGTGACTCTATACTGAATCCAATTCCAAACCAACCTTGGGTTATTTGGAGTAATGGCATTGTTTGGGTGGTCTGATATCAGGCGCTTTATTCATAAACACAATAATCTATGCGATATAAAAATGATATTTGAAAGGTCAATTTTGAACAACAATTTTTTGTATATTTAACCTTTGACCAGTGAACGACCTTGGAGGAGACAGAGCAGGTCAAGGCAAGAGCTCGATGGCTGCCGATCAGGTCGTGAATGAAATCAGATCAAAAGGAGGAAATGCTGTAGCCAACTATGGTAATTTTTTAATTCTTTGGTATCTTCATTTTCATGAAAGTTATTAAACATGTCAGGTATGCAATTTTAAAGCATTTACTCTTTGATGCCATACAGATTTTTTGATAGATGCCATTTCAATTTCAATTTCAATTTCAAAATGGCTATTATGTCAGGCACTGCATATTTCAGACCAGGAATTTAAGGTGAATTAATAACACTACTGTAACACTACTGTGATATTGAACGGATAGTATTCTGTATATATGTTTATGTAAACCTAAAATATATCCTCAATTTCATTCCAAAGTTTTAAAAAAAAAAATCATCTGGTGGAGCAGAGAAGTAAGTTGCTCTGATTTACATTTTATAATATTCAATGACCATGGCATGCTGTAAGCATCACATACAAACATGTATTGCTATCATATGACTACCCTTCAACACTTCAATTTTTATGTTGAATAATTAATAGTATCTGTGTATTCCTTTTCTGTAGATTCTGTTGAAGATGGAGATAAGCTTGTGCAAACTGCCCTCGATAACTTTGGAAGGATTGGTAAATATATATCTCTTTTTGAACTAGACTTTGTCTCTTTGAGATAAAAGCTGTAGCTCTGTGGCTACTTGACTCTAAAGTTCAATCAGCTTGTACATGTAGATCATTGTTCTTATGTTTGACCTCATTGTAAATCAGTCTTGTGTACTGCCCTTGGGTGCCATCCCACTATCCGATTACAGTTAAAAGGAAAAAAGATTGATGTGTGATTGTGGAATATGAATATGTAACAATAGACAACCTTGGCAGCCCGCTGTCTGTCTTCTTGATCAACCAAAGCAGAAAAAAGGTTATAATGTTCATAGCGACCTCCTAACAATTTATTAAACACAGGTCATTAAAGTATATAGCAAAAAGATTCTTGGATTCTGTTCTTGACATAAATATGCTCATACAAGTACATTTATAATTGAACAGCCAACGTTATTAATTTTCTGATGTTTTTTTTTTTTTGGGGGGGGGGGGGGAACATATGAGCTCTTCAGATTTACATAACTGATACTCTATTATAGATAATATGTAATTGTATTTGTTTTTTATAATCTAAATTGTTTGTGCAGGGTTTTGTGTAAGTATTTAAGACCAAGAATTTCAAGTTTTTGACCCATCTTTTCCCTTGTCCGATTTTGCTATACAGATATCGTTATCAACAATGCAGGCATTCTCAGGGACCGGTCTTTTGCCAGGATCAGTGATATGGACTGGGGTAACTATCACATATTAAAGCCTTTAGCATCATAATTGCTTTCCTTCATTCCAAATAGCCCAAACTAACCCCTACACTGTGTCTGCTTTAGCAACAAAAGTGGTTTTCACAGTGTTTTCTCCCATGATGTATCTTTTCATACAAATAAAAAGTTGTAGAATTTAACTTCTATGAATTATGCAAGCTCCACAAAGGTTCTAAAAAATTTTTAAAGAATATTTGTCTACTGATAGAGTGAGATGTAAAGCAATGTAGGCTAGAATGCCATTATCATGAAAGAGGGAACCGCTCCACGAAACACATCGGTGTGTTTTTCCCCACCATAGACTTTTTCCAGAGATTGTGTGTACCCTGAATTAGTGGTTAAGTTTAGTACACAAAAGGAATATTGCATGTAATTATCTAAGCAACTGTGACATAATAATTCATAACCAAACTGAAAATGAGAAAAAGAAAACTTTAAAAGGACCACAAGGTTCTTGTCAAGTCAGTCCTCTCTCGTTGTGCGGTATTTATGTGTCATTAAGTTAAATTGAATTATACATAATATATAGAAAATGTATATGGCAGGGAAATTATTAAGTAGTAAAACATGAAAATGTGGCAGAAAGGGGAAGAGTAGATAAAAATACCAAATAAAAAAGATAAAAGGGAGCTTCAAACAACTGAGGTATATTTCTTAATATTGATGTGATTGTCTATCTCAGATCTGGTCCACAGGGTCCATCTGCGAGGTTCATTCATGGTTACCCGAGCAGCGTGGCCGCACATGAAGAAACAGAAGTTTGGCCGCATCATCATGACATCATCGGCAGCTGGTCTCTATGGAAACTTTGGGCAGACAAACTACAGCGCAGGTTAGATTCTCCATCGACTGCTCAAAATATGTTTATGAACATTATTTACTACATATATAGTGATGGCACGTTTCAAACATTCATAACTTTGTTATTGTTGTCAGATCTTATTCAAACTTTCACAAGTCTGTTTCTATGATATTATTTTGCTTTCTTTTCAAGTAGTTTTCTATTTAGGTTGTATTTCCCTTAAACTCTTTGACTCCTGAATTTTCTTATTCCTGTAATTTTAAATACAGGGGCAACTGGTTCCCATAGGATATGGCTTAATTGAGAGGTGAATGAAATGGATGGGAGGCTGAAGTCAGAGAACATTTTGGCAATTGAGAGCCAGAAGGGTGCCTCAAGATAATGTCCATCTGGCTCTCAGCAAAAAAGGATATGCTATAGTGTGACCAATGAGAAAGAAAAGGGATTAAACTAAGAAGCTTCATCCGGCAACATTCACTTAACTTACCCGATTCTTGAAATGAATCTAGAGTGAATTATGTATTGCTTGCTGTCAGTTTTACAATACTTTGCAGAATATAATTGTAATATCTCTTTCCCTCATTCTGCTCATCTCCAATATCTGGCTCGTGTTTTTTTTACTCTTTGCAGAGATGAAAATTTTGATTCAATTGTATCTTTATTAAAATGTAAATTTTGTTATGTTATTTACAATTTTTTCCCCACTTTAATTCTCTTTTATACAGCCAAGCTTGGGTTGGTTGGAATGAGTAACACACTATCAAGAGAGGGCATCAAATATAACATCCTCTGCAACACTATAGCCCCCATGGCGGCTTCTAGACTCACTGAAGACATCATGCCACCAGGTATTGTACCATGTCTGTTTGTCTATTTGTCTATTTGTCTCCTTGTCTTTCTATTTGTCTATGTATGATGGTGTACTGGGGTAAGATAATTTACTCATGTTTTACTGTACCATGTCTGTTTGTGTCTTTGTCTATCTGTTTGTCTGTGTATGATGGTATGGGGCACGGTGCCATGCTCCTGTGTTATTGTACCATGTCTCTTTGTCTCTTTGTTTGTCTATTTGTCTGTGAATGGGGGTATAGAGAAAGCACTGTATGCCCTCATGTTACATGTCTAGAGTCTACATGTCTTTTTGTCTCTTAAAATGTATGTCTGTTTGTCTGGCTGTAATGGCATGGAACAATTTTTTCCTTCAAACTCACCTACTCATACTTTCCTGGGATAGCAAGTATTTGATTCCCAATGAAAGGATATTTGTATGTTTTGTTGACAGTGGGCTTTTCTTTCATAGGTACCTGTACATAAAGTTATAAACTGTATCTATGTTTCTTAATATATTAAACGTGTTTTTGTGTTTTAGATATATTTGAGAAGTTGAAGCCTGACTACGTTGCTCCTATGGTAGCCTATCTTAGTCATGAAGAATGCCAGTCTACAGGAGGTATCTACGAATGTGGAGCAGGATGGGCGGCCAAACGTAAGAGAAAAAAGGGGTACCCCTATTAAAAAAATGTATAAATACATCTAAGAATCTTTTTTAAATTTTCATTGAGGGACAGATTTGCAATTTTTCTTTTCAGGACATAATAGAATCTACCATTTAGAATTCATGAAAGTTTCTCGTCATTTACATGGTTACCATCAACAATTCACAAAGGTTACATACCGGTATAGGGTTGAAGAAAGAGAGAAGTTGAAGTAGTGGAATTAAGTTATGAAGGTACTATTCAACATTTCCCAGATGCAGTCCTGTGTATTACATACGAAAGCCATATGAAAGACATGCCAAAGGTTTTACTGAAAGCTTGTCATGCAGTGGATTACAGCTAGTGAGAATAGTGATTTCTTCATTCAAAATTCTCTGTATTTTTGTTTTGTGTATTACAGTGCGATGGCAGAGAACAGCTGGAGTAAATTGCCTGAAGCCAGACCAACCGTATACGGCTGAACAGAGTAAGTTCATTTTCAGTAAAAGTCTTTACTCACACAAACATATCCAAGAAATAGAATCATCATTATTAAAATTTGATTAAAATCTATGACCTTAACATCATTATTCTTTCAAGCAATGATTTTAAATGTATTTGGACTTCGTCTTTTTTTATTGATAAGTTTAACTTCACAGACAGAACTCTACATTTAGGTTCACTCTAGCAGTGTAATTACAGTACTGCATTTGAGTTAGAGTAGATGCATATCCCAAGTTCAATCATTTATGGAAGTTGTTTTCCAATTTAGCATCGTGTATGCAGTTTAGATTTCAGTCTTAGATGCAGTTTCAGATGGAAAACAAGAAGGTGTGCTTATAGAGATCTTGAAGGGAGAGTTTTGGAACCAAATGTAGACATGTATTAGGAGAAGATGTGTGGTTTAAGTATTCTTCTTGGCTATGCATGGAATATCCCTCAAAGTTCTAACTCTGCATCAGCATGCTATTTGTGAATGATTTTGACTGACTCTCGCTTTCCCTCTCCCTCTCTCTCTCTCTCTACATATTTACCTTCCTACCTACCGTACCTAGTTCGTGACAACTGGGATAAGATCTGTGATTTTGAAGGGAAAGTCAGTTATCCAGCCAGCACACAAGGTAAGATCAAGTTAATCCACTGACTTGTGGAGTAAATGAAATATATTTTTGACCTGTGGTTACCGGTATACCCATCAAAAAAGGTATTTTGTCAAAACAGTTGGGTGTCACATTTTGCTTCAATCAATATGAAAGATGGTATTTCCTTGCTCATTTTTCAAGTTTGTGAAAGATGACTCAGTCATCATTTAAGAAATTTGGAGAAAAAAATTACATTACAGTGCAGAAAACACACTTTTTGATAATCATTTGAAGGTAAGGGGTTCTGAATTAAACTCACGCTCAAAATGACTATCTACATATTGAAATGTTTATTTGTCATTACAAATTTTCAAAAAGATATTCCTTGGTGATTCCTTCTTTTCCAGATTCCATGATGTTCATGTTGGAAAGTATAAATGAAGGCTCATCTGAAGCTGATTCTTCTCCTAGTTCTAAGGGTGATACCGGTGGGGACGGTGATGATGGAGGATTTAATCCGGTTGGTATCTAATTTTATAATGAGGTTACTTGGAAGTACTGTGATAATATTTTTACCGCACTTGTGATATGAAGGAGTGTGAGAGAATCTTGCACTGACAAGAAAGCTTGGTAGTATGAGGAGTACTGAGGAAGAAGAAGAAACAAGTTTATTTGGTGGATAGTTTGATGGAAAAAAAATAGCTAGAGGAAAGACGGAAAAAATGGCATGAGGCTGGAACGAATGGAGAATACCTGAGAGAAAGATGTTGAACAGCGTAGTTGCTGAAGTAAAAAGATACATGATAAATATGATGCTTGTAGCTAGATGTAGATAGATAGATAGATTGATAAAAAGAGAGAGAGAGACACACACACACACACACACACACCTACATAGCATCAGTCAATTTATCATGCATGTCGGCTGATGTCCTTTGTTAAAAGTCTTTGGTTATTTGTAATATTGTTAACATTGTAGATTGAATGTTTGTCAACTTAGCAAGTTGTTGTATGTGATAGATTGCCTAGGAATAAAGGCTTTGATATATGCAGTATCACTCATTAAATTCATTTTGTAACAAATATGGTTACTTGCAACTTAAAAAAGTAATGGCCATTTTATGATTCTCATTCCATTACTACCATGACAGTCCAAGGCCATCGGGGTTGAGATGGGAGCCAAGGATTTTCAATACACTTCTAGAGAAGCGATTCTTTATGCTCTTGGAGGTAAGTTTATGTTGTGATTTAAACCCATTAACTGATAACTTTTTTTTTCTCTCTTTCTCTCTCTCTCTCTCTCTCCCTCCCCCTCTCTCTCTCTCTCTCCCCTCCCCCTCCCCTCTCTCTCTCTCTCTCTCTCTCTCTCTCTCTCTCTCTCTCTCTCTCTCTCTCTCTCTCTCCCTCTCTCTCTCTCCCTCTACCTCTCCCTCTCTCTTCTGTTCTCGTCTCTTTCACTCTCATCAATTTATCTGTTATATTTAAATATTTTAATGCTCCATTAGGTGAATACGTAAATTACAAAGCCATCATTATGGTTCTATTTTTTCTTTGTTCTTCCAGTTGGTGTATCGACCACCCAGCCAGACCATCTCAAGTTCCTATTTGAGCTGAATGAAGATTTCTGTGTCCTGCCTACGTTTGGAGTAATCCCATCATTCGCTGCACTACAAAACCTTACCTCTGTCCCAGGATTAGAATCAATTGATGTTACAAGGGTAAATGGTCATTATTCATGATATATCGCTTCCCAATCGTAAAGCTAGTCTTAAAGCCCCACTGCATTACTTGTAGCTACTTGCGCCCTCTATATAGCAAACAGTGCCTAATCGGTGCCTGTTGGTCCCCCATGATCCTCTTTTTCTCATGTTTATTGCGAGCTGATTTGACGAGATAACCACCTGCTAGTGACCTTGCAGGGAGGTCTAATCCCCTTGGCCAAACTCGTACAGACAGGCATTAAAGGGCCTCAAGTTGATACTGTAACATTATGTTTTGTGAAAAAAAGACAATACGAAAGTAAGGCAAGTTAAGATAAGTAATAATTTGATAAGGCATGTAAGAGAATCAGTCCTTAGATGAAAAGAAAATAAGCCATGAGGAACCAGCAAGAACTTGTTCCTGAATGGCTGGTCTGTATTTTAGAACAGCATTTTGCGTTTAAAGAAGAAAGATTGGACTGATGCTCCAAAACCCCTAGGCAAACCTCTACATCAGGGAGCTACTTCATCTTATCGGTGATCCAACCTCTGCTCTTTCGACAATCGCTCCGATCAGGCTTTATTATGTTTGTTTGTTTGTTTGAGGATATTCATTACCAGAGTGCCTTTAGCGCATCGGCTTTGTTTCGAACCCTGAAACTCCCGGTTACGAGACCACTGAGAGACCACTGCACTACCACTGAGCCATCGCGCCTCTGAAGGTATAGAGTACCGAAGCTGTGACGTCATAAAAATCTATTTTTTGAATTTTTGAATTTTTTCTTCATTTTCCAAAAGAGCATCAAAAATAATGTCCAAATGTCAAAAACCAATTGAATATGTGAAGTTTTGGCTGAGAAATGACCATCTGAATGAATATATTTCCTTTAGGAACTCAGTGTATTATGCTCTGGCTCCAAATTGTTAGGAGCCAGAGCATATAACACTTAGTCACACTTCACCACTCTATAGGGTTAGTCTTGGGTTTAGGTATGGCTTTTGGACCAGGGTTGAAGTTAGGAATTTGTTCAGTATAGAAAAATCAACCATGGGGCAATCATTACAGGAGCATGTGTAGGACAACTTCCTCATCTCCTTTTAAATTCTTCCATACTCTTCATAGATCCTCCACGGTGAACAATATCTGGAACTCAAGAAGCCTCTGGACACATCAGCGAAGCTCACCAACAAACCGATGGTTGTGGACATCGTGGACAAGAAATCTGGAGCCGTTATCATCATTAATGGTATGTATTTGAGCGGCATTAGTTCTGACTTGTATGTACAACAAACAGAAAACTTGATGGGCTGTTAAGATGACCTTTTTTGTGGCATGAATCTGTCATGAATTGCATAAACTTTAGCATGCGTAAGGAAGTTTTATTTTGTTCATGACATGAAACTTTCATGAGTGCTAGAAGGCTACTGGCTAAAAAGCTGATTTACAGTCATCATCTGAAAATGAATCAAGCATGTGTTTTTCTGTTTGATAACAGGTATAATACATGTGGTTGTACACCACTCTTCTTTTTTTTAGCGAACTCCTACGATGAAAACAATGAACTGGTCATTGTCAATCAGAATGTGGTATTCCTCGTTGGAGCAGGAGGTTTCGGAGGCAAGCGATCATCTCCCCACCTCAAGGTATATCAAGTTTTTCATGCTTCATATCGAACTCTTGGTATCTGAAAATACGAAATTGCAATTGTTTCTGCACATGTTATAATCATAAACTTAGGGGATCAACTTTGTGATGTGAGACCCACCCTGTGTTATGTATGAGGATACATATTTCCATTTGATAACTAAATGTGTGTTATCGTTCTGAGCAGGATATAAGAATGTAATGAGGATGTGAAGTTATTCTTACAGTATTAAAGGCATAGTGTTCTGAAAATCGTTTGGCCAATATAAAATTTGGTTTCGATTTTCAATCATAAATATCTTGATAATCAGACAGGCGATCGGCTTGTAAAAGTTATGGGGTTCCTGACTGACCTAAGGTTTATAATTATCATTGCAGCATGAGCTAAATCCAGGATTTTGTTTTTAGAATCTGAGACAAAATTACTGGATCCCTTTAATCAAAGGGACTATTCCTGTTTGTGTGTTTATTTGGTCTTTTTGCTTGTGAGAGGTTTGTCTCTTTATTCATATTTCCTGTCTCATCTATTGCAATGGTTCCGAGCGGTTTGAAATGAAGGCAACCGTAATGTAATCTAATGTTGAATTTCAGTTGCAAATCTGATCTTTTTCGTACCATATGACAGGAAACAGCGAAAGCACCATCCCGCGCACCTGATGCCTCTCTGCAGGAGAAGACGTCTCTAGATCAGGCTGCGCTCTACAGGCTCAGTGGAGACTACAATCCTCTTCACATTGATCCGTCCTTTGCTGCCATGGGAGGTGAGTCGGTCGGCCTGTCCTCATCAGCTCAAGTTTTTCAATTAACCCGCTATTTTCAGACTGGGATATTATCCCAAAGCCCGAAATTGCGTCCTCACCAGACCGATACGCTCATAACAAACTAGCTCGGTCGGGCGCAAATCAGCTGCTATTTCCACAATAGCAGGATATTTTGGAAACAAGGCCAATATTTCTTGGGATATTTTCTTGACAAAATATCCCACTAATTGCAACTGCGGGCTGATGGAGACGCAAATTAAGTGGCTAATTTGCGATCGGGATAGTTAAAATAGCGGGTTATTTGGCAAACTTGAGCTGATGAGGACAGGCCTCGTGTGCTAGGCTTGTAGTCATAAAAGTAGACTAACTTTAGACCCAGGATAAAGATGGTGGATATAGTTAAATAGTTTGACGACCAAGTCAATATCCTCATCCTGTATCAAAGCTTCCTTTGGCAAGACATTAAATCTACATTAACCACTCTCGAGCCAGTTAGTATATGTGCTCAATATTGATATTCTTGCTTCAGGTCCCCTGCAATACCCACTAATATATAATTATTTGCGGCCATTGGAGCCCAGTCTTCGCAAGGCCAATTGCCTCTGCTGGCTCCTCCATATTTTTTGTATTGTTTAAATTGTTTCATATATGTATAATATTTTGTTTGATGCATTTTTTTAACGAGAATTGAAAGTAAAATGAATGAATGAATGTATGTGATTTAACAAAGAAAGATGAAAGAAGTAATACATCATTCAGAAATGTTCTATCTCTGACTAGTCTACTAGAATGTCGATTCTAATTATCTGTTCTGATTATCTTTAGGATTTGCCCAGCCAATTCTTCATGGACTCTGTTCCTTTGGCTTTGCCTCTAGACATGTTTTGAAGCAGTACGCCAACAACGATGTCTCCAAGTTCAAAGCTATCAAGGTAAGAACCTGCCTGGAATGTTCAAAGAATTTTCATTTTTTATGGTTTCTTGGAGGTGAATAGAGAATGTTGTTTAGAGATAGAGCACAGATAATGCTGAATAAGTGTAGGTATTTTTACAAACCTAATTTTTAAACAAAAAATGATACCCACCTATATTTGTTGGATGCATTTTGTCAAATCTGTCTATATGAACTTTTAATACTTAATGTAATCAGTATTTCTACCTGGTCAGATTATCCAAGACTGATTTTTTGTTGTTGAGAGCAATACGATCAACTTCTATCAATATTCTCCTTATTCTTCCTTCCTTTTTTGTTCATTCTTTCTTTCTTTTTCTTCTTCTTCTTCTTCTTCTTCTTCTTCTTCTTCTTCTTCTTCTTCTTCTTCTTCATCTATTTCTTCTTCTTCTTCTTCTCTTCCCCTCCTTCCTCTTCTCCCTCCTCACCCTCTTCCTCCTTCTCCCTCCTCCTCATCATCCACTTCCTCCTCCCCCTCCTCATTCTCTTCCCCCTCCTCATCCTCCCCCTCCTCCCCCTCCTCGTTCTTCCTTCTCCTCCTCCTCATTCTTGTCTTCCCCTCTTCCTCTTCCCCCCTCCTCCTCCCCTCCCCTTCCTCAACCCCCTCTCCATCTTCCTCCTACTCCTCTTCCTCCTACTCCTCATCCTCCCCACCCTCCTCTTCTTCCCCCTCCTCTTCCTCCTTGTCCATCCTAACAGGTGCGTTTCTCCAAGCCTGTTCTCCCTGGTCAGACCATACAGACTGACATGTGGCAGGAAGGTACCAGAATCCATTTCCAGAGTAAGGTAGGTCACCTCAAAACAATTTCTCTTGTACTTTTTTTTAAATGTTAAATGCTAATTCATACGATCATTCTGACTAAAGGCTCGTTCAGATATGATGCAGTTTTTTATATTTATGACGACGTAAAATGTGATACGCCTCACATTTCTGTACCTTATGACACAGAGCTCAATGAATACGCGCAGTTCCCCTTCCCCGCCCCCATGTCATGTGAGGACACAATTAACTTGAAGGTGTCCCCAGCTTGTTATTGCAATGACTGCCTGTTCGTCTTGTAGTTGAAAACCTCAAGCAGTTGTTTCAACGATTTGTGAACCCATATTGTCAGTCTGTCAATGTGTAAACTGAAAGATTTTATTTAAAAACTTGAAGTTAAAACAACAACAGTGCAATGCATGTTGTCTTTCATCGTGGATACTTTTAGATATAATCTAACAATAATAGATTATGCTTTTATAACACATAATATAGGATTGTCTTTTTTTAAATGATAGACATACTTCAGGTTTTCAGCTTGCCCTCCTGAAAGCAAACTCCTAAAAGACAAACTTAGTCAGTGCAAACTCCATAAAAGTAATGTTTTTGTGATTAGTTTAAGTTCAAGTACAAGTTCATTTATTTGTACTCGTCAATAAAAATACAGAATATATACAATAGTCACATTCACAAATACAGAATAAACATACATAAATATCATACATCCAAACAAAAATGTATCATAATGAGAGTGAAGGGATGAGCTAAAAAGAAATATAGTCCTTATGCAAGAGTCCATCCCTCATATGTAATATTAATAATATTTGACTTAAATGTTGTTTGCTCTGATGAGTGCAAGTGGAACAGCTGGTATGTCTCTCTTCAATGCGTTTCTTTGACTTAGCTGTTCCAATCATCTGCTTAAATCAGATAAATGGCGCAGTACAAGTGCTGTGGATCATCATTATCATCATCATCTGTTAGTTAACTCAAATGTCCATTTGTTGTATGTACCAGGTTGTTGAGACTGGAGCTGTGTGTATATCTGGAGCTTACGTTGATCTGCATGGAGTAGCAGAGCAGAAGAACGCTGCTCCAAGTCAGGTAAGATTGAGAAAGGAAGACGGATGATCATTGATCGATTGATTTGTTTTAACATAATATGATGTGATAAAATGACTTTGGAAGGAACACCCTACTCAGTACTCATCTACGCCTTTACAACACAGTTGTTCTACCGAGGGGCCTAACCTGAAGACAATTCTGTTTTTGAAAGAATGCAGTATGTGAATGTAATTATAAACACATTTTGTATTATCCTGTAGTCAATTTGAATTTCTTCCTAACTTTCTAATAGTTTTACCAGATAGATGGTGCAATGTAAGTGCATTATATTAGGATTATTATTATTAAGTAAATCCAAAGTGGTATGTCATTTCTAATTCCCTTTGCAGCCATCATCATCTGGTCTCAAGTCTGAGGCGATCTTCTCTGCTGCCAGTGGGATGGTCAGCGGCGCTCCTGTTCTTGTTAAGAAGGTCAATGGTGTCATCCAGTACAACATCACATCTGATGGAAAGGTGGCAGGAGTATGGAGTAAGTCATTTTATGGTGCAGTGCATCAACGTATAGATGTCAGTCTACACGGCTAATCTAAATTGTATGCATGCTATAACTCTTAGCTCACTCTCTCTTTCTACCTTTTCTTCTCTGGTCTACCCAGCTCCTCTGCCTACCTTTGGTCCTCCTCTACTCTCTCACTCTGTCAGCATCCTTGTCGTATAAAATTGATTTCGTGTAACCTACCCACTTAAGCTGTTGTGACTTTAGTTTCCATTATAAATGTCCGATATTGCTGTAATTGTCTATGACAATGATTTTTGTTTATGTGTGAATTGATTTGTAAAACTAATACCAGTGAAAAACAAATTCAAAATTATCTTCATCAACTCTGTCAAGAACATTGTTGAACAAAACATGTAGGATTGTCATATTTCTAACATTTCACACCGAATTGAACAAACACAAATATCACTGGTGGATTGCAATAAGTGATATATCGATGTAGGCTAAAGCCAACAGTCACTTGTATAGCAAAAATTGAGAAATATGATTGATAGACGTGCCAAAAGTAAGTTTTTCAGGGCCCCGTCTTACAAAGAGTTACGATTGATCCAAATCAATCTTAAGTCCTCCAATCAATCGCAAGTTTGCAGTCTCCTATCTCTTATGTACATAGTTGCGATTGATATCAATTGCAAATACTGTTGCGATTGATATCAACTGTTTGTAAGACGGGGCCCAGGTCTCCTTTTGGCTGCTAGGAGTGCTATACAAGAATGGATTGTGAGAAGGTGTCTTGTTTGCTTGTTTCCAGCTATTGATCTGAAGGGTCAGGGTGCAGTCTATGTAGGAGAGCCCAAGTCTGGCAAGGCCGATGTTACCGTCACCATATCGGATGAGGACTTTGTTGCGTTGGCTTCTGGATCTCTGAAGCCACAGACGGTATGTTGATAAAACATTGATAAACTGTACTCTCTTCTATTCTTGTTTCTTATACTTCCCATTGCCTATAGCTCTCTGATTCCCAACACTTGGGGCACTAAATATATTATTTATTTATTTATTTATTTTTTTTTTTTTTAATTTATTTATTTATTTATTTATTATTTATTTATTTATTTATTTATTTATTTATTTTATTTTTTATTTTTTTTTATTATTTATTTATTTATTTATTTATTTATTTATTTTTTTATTTTTATTTTTTTTTGGGGGGGGGGGGGGGGGATGCAAATCCTCCAATTGATGGGGCAGGTACATCTGGGGGGGGGGGAGGGGTGTTTCACAAAGATCCTTAGTCGAACTTAACATTAAGTTGGACTTAAAATTACGGAGAGCCATTTGTAGCCTTAAAATAAAATATATTCAAGAGCAAAAATCCAAGTAATTTAGAGTTTTCATAAATTCCACACCAAGAACATGAAATCTCCTTGATAATAGAAAATATGAATTATTTGAATCAACTTTTTATGCCTTTTGAAATAACTTTTCTAAAATATTTTCAAAGATGCTAATGGCTTTCCATAATTGTTAAGTCCAACTTAGGATTTTGTGAAACATCCCCAGGTGTAATTTCCCAGGTACCGGTATGCCTTTGATAATGATCACCATTGACAATATATTGATAAACAGATTCATCATAGCAAAAAGAAAGTCTTTCAAATGATGCATGGTTAATATTCAAAACTTGCCATAAAGCCATAATTGTTGATAATGACCTTTTCAACACTATAAACTGAGAGGCCAAAATGGATAAAAGGATTAATAATAGTTGTTTGTTACAGACACATTACCAATACTAAGAGTGCAACAATCACTGATTTTGTCATTTTCAATTTCAATAAATTGTGTATGTTTTTATAAGTACAACATGTATCAGTCTGTACTTGATATGCTTAAAGAAAAAAAATATAAAGAAAGATTTTGTTGTTTTTGTTGTTGATTATTGTACTTTTTATCCTCATGATTTGTCATTTTCATTTTATAATTTGTCTTTTTGTTCCCTTCATGGTCACTTCCCAATCCTTCTCTCTTTCTTTCAAACTTGTCTTATTTTGCTCTTCCTTCTTTCCTCCCCCGACCAATCATACAGGCGTTCTTGTCGGGCAAGATCAAGGTCAAAGGTCAGATCATGCTTCTCCAGAAGGTGCTTCCGATGTTTGAGAGCTTCATGAAGGGCAAGCTCTAAAGCCTCCTCCACATATGGCATGGTTATTCGCTGGGGGTAAAATATGCTTAACCCTTTTAGGACTGGAATTATTTCTCAGCTAAATTGATCACATATTGCCCTTCAAATTGGCAACAATTATATTTTTCTTTTATTGCTACATTGTTTTAATAAGATGCAATGTCTCTAAAGGAATGATGTTGAAAAGTTGAAAATTGCCAATTTGGTCAAAATACAATGATTTGGAATTTCACAATGTGTTGCCAAACTAAGGATTTTAAAGATTATTTTCCTTTTATAATTCCTGAAATCAAATGCAAGATAGTCATAACATTAAAAAATGGGTTGCAGTATGTTCGAAATTCTTGCCCTTTCTACTCGTGCATCTGGCATATTTTTAGGGCTATGAATCAGAAGTTATTGAGCCAAACTGTGGAATGATTTTTGCGAAAGGGTTAGTGACCTTTACATTTCTAAATTTGATATCAATCGGATAATTGAGTATGCATAGGAGGAGCTTTGTTGCTCGCAGCTACTTCTTACTCATCCCACTTGCCGTTCACTTATGCAACAAACAAAACAAAACACCTCCTATGTGAATGAGTGTTAAGGAAATCCTTGGTTGTTGTTATCATCATTCCTGATCACAAAGGGTGCATGGACCAGATATATGTAGCCTATTTCACACTTGAGTTGGAAGCCTTCTTATAAGGAAAAAAGGATTAATAAAAAAATAAACCACTACCTCTAAATAAACTAACATAGGCACGGTGCACTCCACATATCTGTAATGTATAGCACACAGATAAATTAGTATGCCTAGGGAACTTCTCTTTTATTCCACTTGTGCCATTCATTCAGGCTTTAAATGATTACATTTTGCCCTTTTTTTTGGGGGGGGGGGGCGGTTTATTGCATCATGTGTGAAAAGGCCTATGTGAGCTCTATTTTTCTATGATTTTATTGAATATAACTATAAGTGTGGTGGATAAAGGAATTCATTGTGATTTAGAGCATGAACATTGGACTTGAAATTGCCTTTAAACTTCATAATTACTCAGCACAATATTGTTATCACAAGATAAGGAATCTGAAAATAATCATGGCATTATGTAAAAAGGGATAATATGATTTAACTTGTAGTAATGCAGTTAGTGAGTTTTCATTTCAAGTGTACCTTATTTTACATACTTTGCTTTCATTTATCAGCTTGATTTTGATACCAAGACTTTGGTAAATACATTGTCAATGCATCATTAAATTGTATTCATGAAGAGTGTTATTCACATAGTGTGAATAAATTTAATGGCATGAGACATTGCTAGAGTAAGCTGCGACAGCTCCATGTGAAGAATGAAATTTTTATGAAATAATTTCTGATAAAGACATGTTGTACTGTGCTACATGTGCTAAGAAGAAAGAAAAATTTGTAAAGATTTTAAAGCTATCTTGCAACAGAAACTTGTAGAATCAGTGAACTGCAAATTTTGTGTAATTTGCCAGTCATATTGTCGTAAAGATGACCTTGGGGGGGGGGGGGGGGGGGGGGGGTTAAAGTCTGCAAAGTACTGCAATTTACACTTTGCATTAAAGACATGGATTTTAATAGGGTCCTGATGCAAACAACAAAATCATCTGTTCAGAGCCATAAGGGCATTAACTTTGTGTTGAATTACATCAGCTAACACCCTTCTGGTTCCAAACAGACAAACTATTCCATCTGAATATTTGAACTTTAATGAATAATTCTTGTTACGGTATGATGTTATATATTGTCATATACGTTGATAAAAATATGTATTTGTTAAACAGATAAAATTTATCCCTTGTAATTGTTATATGTAATGTGTACCATACTATAAATCTGGCACTGTATTTTAAGAATGATTAAGCATACCAGTACTCTTATGCAATGGTGTTCATGGTCTTCCAAAACCATTCACACTAAAGTGTGAAAGTACAGGGTGTCAACAAAAAATAAACAAGATTTTGATGGGCAATATCTTAACAAATTTTTAATTATCCTCACTGAAATTTGATGGACAGCGTCAAAATAGTATCCCCTAATTTCTGTGTGAATTTAACAAGGATTTAACCTAACACTGCAAAGTTATGGTTGTTTTGTATCGGACATGCCGGCCTATTCTGCATTTCAAGACAAACTTTTCCATTGAAATTTTTCCAACTGGTAATTTCTTGGTGAAATCACCACCGACACAATGAAAATTGAGACACACTGTATTTTAAAAGTTCCAGAAAAGAATCTTCAGGCCCCCTCTAGACCGATGCCAGGTATTGATAAATTATCATATTTTGTAATGACTTGCCATAAATTGGTTGCAGACGTATTAATCGCTTGACATTTGAGAGAAATTTACGGAGGAGTTTGGAGGATGTTCGATCCATTTGGGACGTTGATGAAAACTTCCTGTTGTGTCTCATGAACTATTATTAATGACTTCTCCTTGATAATAATATGCGGTATGGCCAATCACTGGAACCAGGTGGTCCCTGTATCAAGCCTATGGGAAGGAAATAATTTGGTAGCCAATGGGTTAATGTGGCTCTTGTCTGTTTCTACTGTTATATGGTTTGTATAGATTTTTTTATTGATATATTATGAATTAATAATGAAATAAACTGTGAATGATACCAATGAAAGCATGTGTGTAAGTTGGATTTTTGTTTGTTTATTGTTTTTCCTTGCTAGTCTACTAGGATATTTTTAAAAGTTTATTTAATGAGAATTATATGTTATGTATGGATGCATATAGTACTTGGAGATATTATGGGAAATGGTTGAATCAATGAAAATGTTTTGCATCAAGTACCAGTGGCGTACCAGGGGTCAAGCTATTGAAGGGGGAGGGTACTGGTGTAATTGGGTGAGGGACTTGGGGGAATTCTAGGTACTCATAGGTGAAACGCGGAAGAACTAGGCTTTAGAATAACGGGGTGTGAGGGGGATTGTATCAACTTCTTTTCATGTTGCCTTTTTCCTCTCCCTTCCTTTCTTTTAATTTAGATCTCTCCTTTTTTCACCTTGATTTTAGGGGTGGAGCAGAGTCCCAAAGCTTTCGTGCCCCCTTATCTACACCACTGTTTGTTATCATAACTTTTTTGAAAATGAATGAGAAAATTGGTAATGTGGCCGCATGTTAAATAATATAAGAGTATTACAATCAAACAAAAGTGCACACCCAAAACGTCATTCATAGACTTTAATGACGTCCTCAACCTCATTACGAACGCGTTAAAGCTATTTTTCACGCCTGCAAATCGATATGCAAACCCATATTCCACCGTAAGATCAAATTTTAGTACGAGCTATATTTACTTAATCTGGCGAGTGCGAGTTAACAAATAAAAGAATAATTGTAAAATCCGAGATTCGATCTTAAAGTTATAATCCATGCCGCGCCATTTTAATTTCCTTTGATAAGGATACAATCATCAGTAAACTGCGATGTAAATAAGGCAGACTAATTGAGGCGAGAATGAGTCACTGACGTTTTGTATCCTACCAATGATTTGTTTATCAAATTCTCCATTTATTTAATTCAGGTGTGACATACTTTTTAAAGCAAGATTTTTGTAGCAACAGTTTTCAAAACGCGCTCATTGATGGCTAGTCAGAGGGGAAAGCCATTTCAGTTGTGGATCTAGGGGCATGGGCGGATCTACCTTTTTCCAAGGGGGGGGGGGGGTTGACCCAGTGGCGGATCCAGGATTTTCCAAAAATCGCGCCGTTTAACTTTTTGTTCTTCACTTGGACGCCCAAGGGGGGGGTTAAACCGTCGAAACTCCCCCTAGATCCGCCCCTGAGGGGAAGGGAGAACAGAGAAAGTGGGCACCTCCCCCCCCCCCCCCACCCCTCTCGGCTTATCACTCTAAGGACAAACCTTTTTTTATATTTTAAAACAAGTAACATTGTTTTCGAAAACAAATTAGAACGTTCTTGTTGTTGCTGTCGTTTTTCTTGTTACTTTCGTTGCTTGTCAGCACCCCCCCCCTCCTTGTTCAGAGAATCAAGGGTGGTTACTGAGAATGGTAGACTAAATGTGCATAATTTAGTTCAACATTATTTAGACAGTTTGCATGACTAGAATCATTTCTTCAATTTCTGCTAGAAAATATGTAACAATAACTATCACTATTTATGCCAATTGTCTAAATGTGGAACTAAATATGCTTAAGTTAGAATTGTATACCCCGCATCACCCCCTACCCGCCCACACCCCTTCAAATTCATATTCTCATTTCGGAGCTTGAAACGAGAGAGAGAGAAAGAGAGAGAGAGAGAGAGAGAGATGCAGAACCATATATCCCCGGGGTTTCACTTTATCGGCAAAACATATCTCAATTTGGAGTGAAAATAAACGGAGTGTATTAATGCAAGCATGTCGTGCCTGTCGCAAAGAACCTCAAATCAAACGTATTGAGGTAGTTTGTGATTTAATTGACTATGGACAAAAGTTTAGATCGAATTTCCCTGACCGTTATCACATGTAATGGAGGGAAGTAATCTGTTCAACAAAATATTGTGCAAGCCCGCGATAGCACTGTAGTGTTGATATTCATGAGAATAGGATTTCTTTAAGCGGATATGAGGATTCCGCCGTACCACAGGTATCATTTTGTCACGCGAGCATAACCTCTATAAAATAACAAACAGTGAGAATTTACATCGTACATGTAGGCCTACAGTTTTGCTCATAAAGTTGAAATATATTTTTTAACCTCTTTTCATGAATGGATTGTGACAATATGGCTTATTCTTGATAGATGAAATTAATATCTCCTCGAAACCATATTGATAAATCTCTTTGACTCTTTAGATTGATCTATAAAGTTCTGAGAAATATAAACTTTATCAAGAATAAATCATTTCGTCAGAATCAGCCAATGAAAAGTGTGACAGCGTGTTTCCCCCTATTTGGGACAAAACTTTTCTAACAAAATTATGCGAGGAGAGGCGTTTTCGGGTCTTTAAAAAGCTGATCAAAACCTGGACCACACGCCGTTAAAAAACACGAAAATAGCAAAATGGGATTACAAAATAGTAAAATAAATATGGCTAGTCATGTCCGGCCCTAGCATTAAAAGCTGCCAACGTTAGTGAAATTTGTTATTCTATGTATATATCATATAAAATATGATTCAAACAAGTCTTAAGCATTACTTAAAATATTTATGCCATATATTTGATTTACGACATTATTAGTATAAGAACGATAGGATATCATCTATAAATAGGCATAAACAAGTGATAAGTAAAAGTGGGTCGTCAAACAAAAATCATGAATAATTATTTTTCAACAAATGTTAGTGGCAGTCGTAGTAGTAGTAGTAGTAGTAGTAGTAGTAATAGTAGTAGTAGTAGTAGTAGTAGTAGTAGTAGTAGAAGTAGTAGCGGTAGTAGTAGTAGCGGTAATAGTAGTAGTAGTAGTAGTCGTAGTAGTAGTAGTAGTAGTAGTAGTAGTAGTAGTGGTAGTAATAGTAGTAGTAGTAGTAGTAGTAGTAGTAGCGGTAGTAGTAGTAGTAGTAGTAATAGTAGTAGTAGTAGTAGTAGTAG